TCACAGAACTTTTTTGGCCCGGCCGGGCCTAGGCCCAACCCGGGCCCAGAACCAGTTGAGTCCATCACTAATTCTGAATTGTCAATGTAATATGAAGGCTTTATGACTCAGATAGAGGCTACCAAGCAACTACCATTGCAAAATGAGTGCTCATAAAACATCAATGTTCCATCAATATGCTATGGGGACTTGATCCCACAAGGCCATAACCTCTTTCCCTCACACTGTCACACACAATGAACTTGGAATACAGATGACTTTTGTCATACACAATATGTTGGGTTAGAGACCATCCGGATGAAATGTGAAGTAGTAAAACCATATCACATACCCACACACTATACCAAAACTTGGATTAGTAAAACAGCTCACAAACCCAAGTGCCAGAAAAAATGTGAAACTAGAATTGCATTGACCTAATAAAAAACAGCAACATAGCCTACAGGCAAAACAAGGATCATCCAGATCAAAGCTTCTGTTTCTTTTCATCAGACTGGTTTGTTCCCTTCTTCATCTTAGCTTCACGGCGTTCTCTCTTAACTCCTCTAGCTTTGTTAGGCAGTGGCACACTCCCAATCTACACAACAAAGTAAAAAATGCCAACAATTAAATACAGGCTAAGAGTGCAGAAGCTGGAGGTTCATCATCATGATGAATTGATGACTCGTCATCCATCAATACGCGTCACAACTTATGGGATGCTCTGTTATATCTGAACCAGCACATTATCCCAAAAAATCTGTCTCCACTCCTATAGGATCCAAACTAGCGCATAATACTTTGTTAGATCTGAACCAGCACATTGTGGTCTGTTTATTTTTCATTATAAGGGGTGATAGAGTTGGATTGATTAATGAAATTAGATCTTATCATATGTTTACAGTATTACTATATAGAACTACACTACCTCATAGCCAGCATTAAAATCAGATTTAGAGTTTATCTTCAAAATTTAATTAATTCCCTTGCATATTTTATGAATCATATATTAGGAAATCCATCATCATCATTACCCCAGTGCCACAAAGGCTCCCACCTACGGTGTGGTAAGGGGAGTCGGATCTACGCAACCTTACCCTTGTACTAAAATACAGAGAGATTGTTTCCTTATGACCAATGTTGAATATCACGCGGAAATTTAAATGGACTGATTGCTGCTTCATAGCAAAGAAGCTCAGACGTCATTTGGCTTTATTTCATCATATTCCCAAGCCAAAAAAAAGTGAATCTTTGTAATCAGATGCAATCTAATCAATCCATGTTAAACAATGGTAATCAACCATTCTATTAATAATCACATCATTCTTCTGTCCTAAATATCTATGTCCAAGGAGTACATCCATCATTTATGAAATAAAACTACAAGTTCACATCTGACCAAAGTGGTAAAAATCATAAAAAAACAGATTGGTTATTTGGTCTTACCTCCTGATCGGGAATATAAATCTTCCCAATTTTTCCTTCGATAGTATCTTTAGAGACATTTTTCTCCTGAAAACGGAAACGGAATCAGCAAGAGTAAGTAAAAATTTCAAAGTGATAAGGACAACTAAAGGATAGAGTGAATGACAAACCTTCTTCTTTGTTTTCCCAGGAGCAGTTTTCATTGCCTCTTTCTTCAATCTCTCATCAGGCATGCGATGCCTTCGAAGCACCAAATCCATTGATGGACCAACCTCAACTAGTTCTACCCTTGGTACAATGGTTCCAGATTTTTTAAGCCGTAGTGCACAATGAGTTAAGAAGACCTTGTTTGATGACAAAGCTGTGCATACATAAACACGATCCAATCCAGATAGATTCAAATTTGTCACAACCTGCATAACGCCCAGCCTATGACTGCATTTGTCAAAAAAGAGACGAAAGCATTACAGAAAGAATAGAAGAAGCATTAGACAAACCTCCCCATTAAATAAATCAAGTAAAACTTCTTTCAAATGCTTCAGCTCTTCAACACTCTCAAATCCTTCTCCAATGAAAGCAAAGAAAGGTTTTGATCCAATTTTAGGAGCCAGTTTTTTATCATATGAGAAAGAATCCATGCTTTTGAAGTTCTCCACACCCACCTCAACAAGATCATAAATGTGGTGGTCATAACCTCTTCCAATTACAAGATTGTTAGGTCGCTTCTTTGAGTGAGTCCCAAACTACAAAATACAGCATAAACATAGAGAATTACTGAATGGATGGTGACATGATCTACTAATTGTTTCACTAGTCACTAATAATTTAAATTATATAGGGATCCAATATCTGCTGCCACAAGATAATTACAGTGACCAGAGATAGAAGAGGTGAATACATTAATCTTCTAAAAATACCAAAACTGCATAGTAAAATTTAGAAGTTGATAATAAGGTGTAAATCACAGATAAATTTTAGACTTCAGCAAAACCATATGTAGTTCGGGAATATAAAATGTGATTTTTTTTCCATTTTCATATCTAATATACTTTACTTAGCACACGGTCACACAGATGATCATAACACCGCCAGTAACAAAAGATGCATGTATAAAAATCTAAACAAATTAAAGGGATTTATACTTGCCACAAAAATGCTGCAATCAGATTTTTGAAGAAAAAACTCCAATGATGTTTCACCCCCACTTTCAAACGGCCTGATATTCCCGTTCTTCCTGCTATACTTAACCGAATTATCCCTCTTAAGATGATAAATCTCGGTCAGTAAAGCATTCAATACGTGGTTAGTTTTTGAACCGTGAAGTATTAAAGTTTTCTTCCCATCTTCAACCTGCGAAACACACACACCAATCAAAGTTATAATTTTACAGATAAAACTCATGTCGCCTTCATCAAATACCTACAAATTTAAAAAATATAAACACAAACAACACTTGAAAATACTCATTAGGTAGGAAAAATCAAACTTACGATTTTAGGTGCACGTTTGTCAAGCTCTCTCTTGATTCTTTTCTTCGTCGGGGTCTTTATTTTCATCATTTTTAGCTAAAAATGTGCAAGCTAGAAAGGGAAGAGGATGTGCGCCGGAGGGAAGAGCGGAAGAAGGGGTTAGGGTTTTAGTGTGAAGGGATACAAATCCTTCCAACCTCTGGACATGTATTTTGATATTTTGTATTTTTCTCAACATTTTTTAGTTTTACTAAATGAAATACATTTAATGGACCCAAAGGGCCAAAACCAAACCAATTTTGTCTGGACTCTCAATATGACTCCATAGGCCCACTTTGCTCATCTTCACGGTTATAATGGTATAAGGCCCATTTTCCACGGTATTACTATATTACTCTTCGAGTAAATGGTCAATTTGTTACTTGAATTTGTCTCCAGTAGATTAAAAATGATTTACTTGAATTGGAGCTTATAAAGTACTTCAACATTTTTTTAATAAAAAGGGTACTAACTTGCAATGGAGCTATGAAAGTATTTGAACTTGTTTTCACGATGGGCACAGACAATAACACAACCAAAAAGGGAGTCTTGGGATACTGAGGAAATACCAGGAGAACAAAAGCATATGAGTCGGTTGAACAATGAAAGTATTGTTGATATGTCGGATGATTATTATTTGATATGTAATCCACCTGATTGTATTGTGAGTCAGTTGAACAATGAAAGTTTGAATTAATGAAAGTGAAGTTTTTATTCAAAAAAAAAATAAAAAACTCCACTAACAAAAATGTGACTTTTTTGCCCTAACTTATTCCCATTATGTTGTAAGTGTTCTGTATTAATAGTCACCTTTTTGTAACTCCATATACTATTAGTAATATTTATGTAAAAATCTCTAAAAAAACAAACGGAATAAGCAATTTCACTTATTTCTCTGTCATTCATATAAATACATCTCAACTATTTTTTTGACCAATAAATACATCTCAAATAGTGATTACCCCCTTGAGCTTAGGTGATAATTATTGAATCAACCTTGTATTTTTTTAACTGAATCATTTACCCCTTGAGCTTTTATTAAAGTTTGAATATCCCTCTTTTGTTAAATTTAAGTTGCTTGGACCGTTAATTGTAAGTACAATTCCAAAAAATGTCCTTATCTATTAAACTAAACTAAGGAGTGATATAAAATAAGAGTACATCAACTGAAAGTTTCACAAGCTTACTCCAAAAGTTTTCAAACAAAGAAATTAATGTTTCCCCAAGCATCATTGCAGCACACTTTAAAGTGCTACGTGCCTTTCCGTTTTTCTTCTTTTCTGCTCCAATTTCATCAAAGTAAGATTCGCTCGGCTGTGTATTTGAAATAGGGGTGGGAAAAAATACCGAGTCGACATGGTGTCAAACTAGACTGATATATGGTACCGGACTGAAAAGCGGAACTTGAAAGCAATCTCAATTTTTTTGTCATGAACCAGACCGTACCGATTCTAAACAATGTCATGACCGGTTAAAATTTGTACTTCTATAGTTTACCTGAAATTTAATAATTATGTAATACAGAGTATGAAATTTGATAAATTATGTGGATTTTTATAGGATGGCTAAACTTTAACTTCCACTTAAACACTTGGAAAAGTGACATTGTTTGGTATTAATATGATATGGTACCGTCCCGTTTGAAAATATAACCGTACTGAACGGGTTTAGGTGTAAGATCGAACCGAACCGTTTTAATAGTCACGATACAGGTGCGAGTTCAGCAAAATACTATACTGGACCGGATCGGACCGAACCCCTAATTTGAAAAAAAACGTAGGTGAGAGGATTTAACAAATAATCCCTAAACAAGGGTATTTTTTTCAAAGAAATATGCATTTGATAGAAGGGGGAGATTACAACATTAATCATAGCTAAAGGGGTAAATAGTTGACTTTTAAAAATATAAGGTTGAACTAATAATTATGGTCAAACTACGGGGTAATCATAAATTTCCCTTTTTATTTATTTATTTATTTATTTATTTATTTATTTATTTATTTATTTATTTATTTATTTATTTATTTATTTATTTATTTATTTATTTATTTATTCTGCGGATACATTTCGATTAAATTCTATTGAGAGAAAGAGTGTTCTTTGAACAAGGAACATTGCTATAGAGAAAAATATCATGACTTATTTTTGTAAAAAATGGATGACACAGTTCGAGAGTCCCTGACTTATCAAGACTGCTGGTTTTGAATCTGGGAGAACGCGGAACACCACATCGTTAAGCGACTCCCTTGTCCAGTTGTCTCCTCGGGACTTTGGTCGATCCATCGTCGCTTTTCTCCTCTGCCGGAAGTCCACAGATCACGATGGTTCCGCCGCCGGTGCACTCCTCCCCCAGCTCCCAATACACCCAGCAATTCTTGAGCAGCGTCCTCTCCCAGCGAGGCCCGGAGGCTCTGCCCTACTCGGAGGACCTCAAGTGGCTGATCCGTCAGCACCTCCTCGCCCTCATCGAGGCGTACCCTTCTCTCCAGCCCAAGACCGGCATCTTCACCCACAACGACGGCCGCACCGTCAATCTCCTTCAGGCCGACGGCACTGTCCCCATGCTCTTCCAGGGCGTGACCTATAACATCCCCGTCATCATCTGGCTCATGGAGTCCTACCCGCGTCACCCGCCCCTTGTCTTCGTCAATCCTACTCGCGATATGATCATCAAGCGCCCCCACCCGTTCGTCAACCCTTCCGGCGTCGTTGCCATCCCTTACCTTCAGAATTGGCTTTACCCTAGCTCTAATCTTGTGGAATTAGCTCGCAATTTGGGGCATTATTTCAGCCGCGACCCCCCTCTCTACTCCCAACGCAGACCTAATCCAAACCCTAGCCCCTCCACGAGCTCCGGTTTTGCAAATAATGCATCAATTGGAGGAGCTGTTTCTACTGGTCCTGCCCCAGCAATCCGACCCACCATACCTCCCCGTGCATTTCCACAGTCCCCGTATGGAACTGGCAGTGGTTCTGGGAGGGTAATGGATGATCCTTCCGAAGTTTATAAGCGCAATGCCATTAATAAGCTAGTTGAGAGCTTCCATAGCGATATAGCAGGGTTGAGGAAGGCCAGGGAAGCTGATATGGATGGCATGTTCAACGCCCAATCTGCTTTGAAGCAGCGAGATAATCTATTGCGCCAAGGTTTGAAAGAAATGCAGGATGAGAAAGAAGGATTGGAGCAGCAGTTGCAGATGGTTTTGATGAACACTGATTTACTGGAGGGGTGGGTGAGAGAGAATGAAGCTAAGCTGAGCAAGTTGGGGAATGTGGAGGTTGGTGAGGTTTTTGAGCCTTGTGATGTTCTTTCGAAACAGATGATGGATTGCACTGCCTCAGATTTGGCAATAGAGGATGTGGTTTATTCGCTGGATAGGGCGATACAGGATGGCGCCATACCTTTCGATCAATACTTGAGGAATGTGAGGCTTTTGTCTCGTGAACAGTTCTTTCAGCGTGCGACTGCCTCAAAAGTTAGGGCTGCGCAAATGCAGGCACAGGTTGCTAATATGGCTTCTAAGGCATCCCACTATGCTTTATGATGATGAATGATGATACATGCCAAGCAGCCATTCAGGTGGTATGCTCCCACCTATACATGGGATTTGAAGGCCATTGATATACAGATTATTATATTTCCAGTTGTGTGAATAAAATGTTAATGCGCAATACCTCTATAGATGTTCACACCTTTTTGGCAATAGTGAAATCATTTGTACTAATAGTGAAATTACAATATTTTTCTCCCCAAACAATTCATATTTTTGACTTGCAATTCGCTTTTTATATTTGTCTGTTTATTTGAAGCATTATATGGTTCTGGTCCAGATTTGGAAGATGTTGAAACTAGGTACATTAGATGCATAGATAGAGTTTTGCTTAGTCTTAATTGTTTCTGTGTTGAGTTCCGTATCCCTTCATATTTTGGATGTGCATCTTCGAATCTCTTTCTTGATTGCCCATTTATGTTCTAAATGGTACTGATTTTTAACTAATCTAACCCCTTTTATGAGAGTATGACTTTGGAGAGAGCAAAGTGGGGTAGAGTATGGGTAAAGAATTGATTTGTTATTGTTTGTTTTTCTTTTCTCTATTTATTTTTTATAGCTCCTATGTATATGTCTATTCATGTTAGCCGACCTCAAGTTCTTTTGGAACTAAGGCTTGGATGGTGGTGTTGTTGACCCCAATGCGATCCCTTCTATGACTCAGCCAGGGTCCCATGTAGGTGATATTCCTCAATCTCGCTGTGCGAGAACTTTTTTGAACACCCATTGCACCTGTTTTCTCGGTTAGTTAGAAACTCGAAAACACATTGTCTTTTTTACTGAACCTATATTTTGCCATCACCACTTGCTTGTTCAGATATACCAGTTTGAAAAAAGGATATGGGAGCTCATGGGAGTTCATAAATTTTGTGATGTTGTTTTTCAATTTTCCTCATCCTTGGTATACCTTTGCATAAACATGTTATTTCTTGCACATGGCTATATTTAGGGTTTTGTAATGACAGATAGCACCACCTTTAAGTTTTTTTTAATAGTCTTTCTTTAGCTATGAAAAGCTCTTGAGAATTCATCTTATCGATTTACCTATTTGGAAGTCCTTGGTTCTTCTTCTAGTGAATTTGGGACGGTTATTTTGTGTGTGCTCATAGAGGCAAGTTGTTAAGCTGGAGTTTGAATTTCTATCTTTACAAAATTATCTTTACAAAATTATAAGAGGGAACGAGAGCTCATTGTAGGTATGAAAAATGTGTTGGTGTAATCACATAGGAAGTACTTCGTATAATATAAACTTGTATCCCCAATGTTCTTTTAACTTTACAACCTGATCTGTCTAGCTCTTGCTATTTATCTTCTCGGCCAATTTATTTATTTTATTTTAGAAAAAATGGACAAGAATAATCCCAACTATTAGTGACTTTCTCTAAATAATCCAAAGTATCAATTATATCAAAATAATTAAAATTCTCAAAATGCTCTAGTGACTTATATTAACTTGTAAATATTATACTTTGTAAATCATTTATAGGTTATTATAAGTCATTGGAGCATTTTGAGGTTTTTATTCAATAGTTGGGATTATTTTGAGATAATTAGTACTTTAGATTATTTAGAGCAGATCGCTAATGGAGTAATGGGACTAGGCCCAGAGCCTAATCGGCCCAAGCCCCGAACTTGGACCCGTGGATCCAAGTCCAGAACCTGGAGCCTGCCTACCAGCCCAACGGGGAGCCTGCCAGTCCGGCCGACCTGCCAGCTAGGAAAAGTAACGGTCAAGCAATTAATGCGTTGTTTAATTATGTATTTAATTCCGTATTAATGTTGTAGTTAATTAGTCATTATTATCGATAGCAGTTACGATGTGTATACGCCTATAAAAGGCGGGTTGTGATTCAGATTAGGGGGGACAAATTCTAGATGCTATTCTTGGCAATTCAATCTCCTAGCCCTTTCCATATTCGTTATTATTTTCTTGATTCTTGCTTGAGTGTTTATCGTAGCTTTCCTAAAAGCCTACGAGCGTCCTATTTTGGACCAACAGCTAAGAGCCCGACTTGTGACCATGTTTTTCGGCTTATCAGACTTATACTTTTTCACCAAACACATAACTTTTAATTTGATGTGTGAAATAGTGTAATAATAAGAAAAAGTAAGATTAGAATTAGTTTTCTGGCTGCATTGACTGAAGCTACTATAAAGAATCATTTTAGCTAATTTTTTCATTTTTTTTCTTTATTTAGTTAATAAAATATATTTTAAATACAAATTTTTCCTAAATAAGCAAAAACTGCCAATGTAACCACTTCGGCCAAACCTTTATAAATTTCAGTAAAATTAATCAATGCAGTCGATTTGGATATTACTAAACGAGCTCTAATAGTTGAGATTATTCTTGTTCATTTTCCTTGATTTATGCTAGAGTTTAACAAAAAAACAAGAATTAAAGGTGATGATGAAAATAGAAAATAAAAATCAACGGAATAAATCGTTGCCCAAAATAATCAACGGTAGAAATCGTTGTCCAGGGCCAAAAGGCTTATCTCCAATTCTATTCATAGACAAGCAAGAATGAACTCCGGCAAGAGGTATAAATAGCCTTCTAGTAAAATACTCAACAGAAACCCTAAATGAACCCAAATTAATTAAATCTTAATTAAGACAAATTATTCTACTAAGTAATAACATAACATAACTTTATAGTAATAAATAAAACTACAATCCCAGTCCATAATCAGCCCACATAAATGGGCCCAAACCCGTTTGCACCTAGCTCTTCCTACTCTCAATCAGTCCACCCTCTTTCAAAATATCTCGTAGATCGAAGGCTAAAATTTCCAGCCATAAAATAGACTGGAAAATATCCTCCATTTCCTTCCCGACCACCCTGGCCTTTCTGATCCTTTTCCAGGTCAGTTATTACCTAATACTCATGTTGTTGGTGGTCTAACTCTTCATGTTCCCGAGCTATCATTATCTGTAACTGTTTAAAGGGGCAGCCATGCCCCAGTGTAAATGGTTTTTTACACCTTGCCCACAATTCTTTCAACTCCTTCGGCGGAAGTCGAGTGAACTAAGAGTGTGTCGTAGATAGGGATGGCAATGGGGCGGGGTTGGGGCGGGGGTTCACTCCCCCATCCCCGCCCCGTGTCTAAAAAATCGCCCCCACCCCCCGCCCCGTCCCCCACTACTATTCGACCCGCCCCATCCCCCACCCCGACCCGCTAGACCCACGGGTACCCAACGGGGAAATACTCGTCAAAAATTAACATCATTTTAGACTGACAATTTTTCAAAAATTTAACAACACTTCTAGTAGCCAATGTTTTTTTTTACTTTTTAAGTGTCAATGTAATCTTACATCCCATTTCAAATCTAAAACACATTATACGCGTTCTAAATTAGTAATTTTTATCAAACTCTAAATTAGCATTGATTAGCTCTATAATATTTTCTTAAACCCTGCATTCAATCAATCATGGTCATTTGACGGCATCTAGGATGACATATGATCACCAAATTTTAAGAGCCCTAACTACAATCATAAAGATGACATTCAAAAGAAAAGAATTAATGCATTATAATAGTAAAGGAAAAAAAACTTTCACACCGTTTCTGAGGCGTTTAAGCTAATATCACTTTATAACTTTTCCAAATTCATTTTATTTTATCTCTAAAAAAATCATTTTACTTTATGATTTTGATAAGCAATTTTACAAGATAGCTTAGTTATTAAACAAGAATTAGATAGATCCATTACGCACAATCCATTAGATAGGAAACCACTTAACCCACCGGGCCACCATGCTATTTTAATTACTTCGTATTAGTATTACTATTATTATTAGTATTATTATTGAGATTATTATTATTAATTATTACGGGGGACGGGGCGGGGACGGTGCGGGGGGTGCATAACCCATCACCCGCCCCATATTTATGCGGGGAGAAAATATCTCCCCCACCCCACCACCCGCCCCACCCCACCACCCGCCCCAACTCCCCCCCACGGGGCGGTTCCCCACGGGCCCCCGCCCCCATTGCCATCCTTAGTCGTAGACAACCCGGACAGCCCTGACTTTGTTCCCGGGGGGCTGCCCACAATCTTTCCGAAAGCTATCACTCGATCCCTGTATGCTGCCACCACTGGCAATCAATGGATGACCCGTGTTTGGCAGTGAAAAGCTGCTAGAGCGTGCCCCTGTAGTATTATAACTTGGACCGCCTCCTCCTCCATTTTGAACGGACAAATTGTGCTCCACATCGTGAGCTAATTCCATGGCCTCTTCCAAGTTATCCGGCCGAAATAAGCGTAATGAGCTTCAGATTGACTCTTTAGTCCATTCATGTAGTATCCCAAATAATGATCATCAGAAAAATCCGGAACTTGGCTGATCAATTGAACGAACAGGGTATTGTAGTCCTCCACTTATCCAATCTGTTTGACATCGGCCAACTATTCAAACTTATTTCCCTGAAATCGGGAATTGAATCTGGCCACCAGAGCTTGCGTGAAATCTGCCCAGGTCATGTTGGGTTTGCGCGCTCTCAGCCAGGTTACCCAATAGAGTGCCCCTCCTTGCATGACAACAACAACGGTTGTCACCTTTTTCTCTGGTAGGATTCCGTTCAACTCAAACTGTGTTGTTCAACCCGAGCAACCCACTAGATCGGGTCTTCTCTGTCAGACATTGGCAGCAATGGTGAAGCGACGTTGCGCGGCTGTCTGCCGCCGTTGTGCGTAGATACAACGGGGCTGCCAACCGCGTCCGAGCTTGTTTCCGTCGCGACTGGCGAAACGAGCACCTTGGTAAACGCTACCAGAGATGCGGCGATCTCTGTCAGACGCATGTTGTGCTCCTCTAGGGTTTGATTCATCTGAGTTTGCTCGGCCTCCATCTCTGTCAGGCGATCATTCTAAGATCTCGTCATTCTGGCAGGACGGGATCTGACTGTTCGGACTAATTGATGAAAACAAAAAATAAAAATCATTGGAATAAATCGTTGCCCAGAATAATTAACGATAGAAATAGTTTTCAGGTCCAAAAGGTTGAACTCCAATTATATTCATAGGTAAGCAAGAATGAACCCTGGCAAGGCGTATAAATAGCCTTCTAGTAAGAGATTCAACATAAATCCTAAACTAGACCAAATTAATTAAATCCTAATTAAGCCCAAATTACTCTACTAAGTACTCTTCTAATAATAGGCCCAAACTAAAAATACTCCGTATAACATAAACTTTACAATGATAAATATAACTATAACCCCAGCTCATAACCGGCCCATGGAAATTAATGGGCCCAAACCCGTTCCCGCTCCATGCTCTTCCTACTCTCTATCAGGTGATGCTG